AATGATATATAGGAGTAATTTTTAAAAATTTTCTTCCTAATTCATTAATATATTTATTTTTGGAAAAGCAGCTTTTAGAAATTTATTTTATATACAATTTAATTTAAATTTTAATATCATTTGATGTATCAAATTCTTATGTACAGCCTGATCATAATCACTTTGGAAATCTTGACTTATTGATGACAATAACTGACAAACATTCAGCATATTATATAAGTAAACAAGTGTACAATTAGTAAAAATTTATTCTGATTACTGGCATTATAAGGATATGTTAAAACAATTTAAGTTTTTATAACTTGGAATTTTAATTGTAATTAAAATACAATTCATTCACTATTGCTTGCTTGCCATCACCTTTAACAACATTGGATTAGAAGTAAGATTTGCCAGAAATTTAAAACACTGTACTGAGAGCAAATAATTAAAATGATCAGTGTTTAACACTGGCTAAAACTGATAACAATTTCTTGTTATCAGCTATATCTTGAAACAAAGGGCAAAGTTTCAATAGTTATCTGCACAAAATTATTTTTCTTTAACAAATTTTATGTAGTAAAATTACGTCTTCACAATCCACTGTTTCAGTCATCACCATTGACAAAATTCACTTAGAGACCACTTTTTTTTTATAGAGGCATAGCCTCAAATAATGTAAATTGGTTTTAAAATATCCTCAGTGCAGAGGCATAGCCTCAAATAAAAGGTTGTCTCTAAGTGAAGATTTGTGTTTTTGGTTGTCAACAATGACTGAAACAGCAGATTGTGAAGACTTTGTATTCTTTGTTATGATTTTTCTGTCAATTACTATTGATCATTTTTTATTAATAATTTTAGTTTAACAAAACAAAAAATTAAATTATTTCAATTCTGTTCATTACAAATAACCTAAGACTGCTATTATAATGTAAACATTTTTGTTTATTAATTAATCCTTCCATGAAAAGTTTCTTTGGGTGCAATACTTATAAACCTTGAATTACTGACATATATGATAAGTAAATTTTTTCAAGTGTCTCTTGGAGAAAGTTGAATTAAATTTATCAATATTTGAGGTTATTTCACAGTTTGCTTGTATTATGATGATCATTGACAAATTGAATTTTAGTATACTTTTAAAATTTGGTTGTTAGTATAATTCTCTTGAGATAACTCCACAGCATCCCCCAAATAAATAATTTTAGAGAAAAATTATACATTTTTAAATATATAGAGAATTTCCTTTAAGAATTTGTAGATAAATGGAAGACAATTTCAAGACATTTTTGAATAAATCTTTTCATTGATAACAAACACCACATTCAAAATCAAGAAAAATCAATAAAAGTGAAATATAGAAACATCTTAGTAAACCAAACATTGAATTCTAGAAAGTTCATAATTATAACTTGCAATTTAGACAGATCATTTAAGATACAAAATTATTGTTAAATCAAACCAAACTGTCCTTCAAATGAAGAAAATGTCAAAATATAACATTATATATTGTAATGTCTAGGTTTTCCTACAATAATGTAAATATATTATTACATAAATCTTTAATAAGTAATAAATATTCTGTAAAAACCTAGTTATGTAAGTGCATATTTTGATTATTTTTGTGTCACATATGTGTAAAATGGCAATTTTAACTACATAATAATACAATCTTACTTTTATTCTTTAAATGCTGAACACAATAATTAAATCCTTTAGTTCTTGGAAGCAAATGATATTTCAATTCAGTCAAGTTCTTTTGACGAGCATATTCCATGCTTGCTTTGTGTTTTTCTGGTGTAAATCTTGTTCCTTCACAAAATAATAGTATCTATAAATACCAAATATATAAAATATTTAATTATGTCATGAATTAAAATTTAAATATAAATACCATTTATTTATTAGAACTAATTTTTTGAACTAATTTAGTCCAGCATCTGCTCTCCGAGTGGAACTTCAAAATTTAACTGAATCTTATCTAAAGCTCTGCTCTAAGCTAATGCTGGACTAACTTAGACCAAAAAAATTGTTTCCTTAATATCTTATTTTTTAATTTTTAATATTGTATAAAATTTCATTCAATTTTTTTGATAAATATCATAATTTCCTGCTTATAACCCATAGAAAGTTGCTAGAACAAAAATTAAACCTTTGCATAAAACTCGTGCTGTCAAATATATCTCATCTCTTAAAATGCCCATTGAAAATATGGAAAATATTAGAAAATATTATCTCAAACATTCCATATTTTTTCCTTTTTTATTTCCATTAGCAATTCACTGTAGGTTTAATTATAAAATAAGTTAATGGAAAAAATATTTAATATGGAGCTGTCTAAACTACATTTTGCATCAAAAATACAAATGGCTTCTAAACAACAAAAAATTTTATCATTGTTTTCCTTTATTCAATAAAATTAAAATTATAAATTAATTAAATGAAGAAAAAAAGGATTTTAATGTCAGTATATGTAGTATACTTGATATCTAAAAGCCACTTAGGATGAGACAAATTTATGGTCAGTGATTCTTGGTGGGAAAGACTGCCCATTTTACCAAAAGATAGAGTAATTAAGCAGTAAATAAGGTAATTTTCATCATCATCATTAATTTTACTAAGTTGCATACACTACAACAGCCAATGCCCAATGGATATGAGTTGATCAATTAGTTCTTTATCAAACATTACTTTTTGTTTGCTGTAAAGTTGGAAAGTTGACAATTTGTTTCTAAATAGCTGTCATTACATTAAAAAAAATGGAGGTAATTACAAATATTTGACAGCTTTTGAGGTATTATTAAACTTTTATCAATTAAAATGTAGAATGACATACAAAAACATGGGAAAGAACTAAAAGTATATATATATATATGTGTTTTTGGCAGTTTCCAGAAAAATCATGATGGTAGATTAATGTGTAAATCACAAAAGATTCTTCAGATTTTTAAAGACACTCTTAGTGAGTTTACACAAAGGTTGGATGAGTTCATAAATACAATTTAAAATTGCAGATACCCACATTACTGCAATGAACACTAGCTCTCAAATTGACATTTTTAAAGAAATAACCCACGTTATTCACAGGAAATTATGGTATATAAATTTCAAAACTAAAATCTAAAAATTGTAAAAAAGTAATAAATTACTAAAACTGTCTCTTTGTATTTCATCAATTCATCAAGTTTCTGTCCTAAAACAAGAGAATCTCTTTCCCAATTTCGCTCAAGGAAGATCATGTCTGCAAATATCCAACTCCATCCGATTACAGGAATTTTTCTCAGAGAGCTTTTTGAAAATGTCTTGGCACTCTAAAATAAAGTATTTATTTATAAGATATTTTTCATAATCAAAAAGATAAACTATTTATTTTATAAATCATAGTAATGGAAGAAAATGGAATTCAACTAAATTCTTGAGAAAAAACATTTAGGTGATGTGATAACATGCTAAAAATAAGTGATTGTGCTGAACATGGAATGAAGTTAGCTACCTCACTAGCTTGAAATATCTTGACTGAATCGAAGTCTGGTTCGCTCACGTGTCGACAAAGTCCGCAAAATTTTTTTGGATGATGACTCTTCAGTTACACAAAAACATCACAATTTCAGTCATTTGTTCTTTATGAAAACTAATCTATTATAAAAGTGAAGAACAATGTTTTGTATTTTTAACACCATTCTGCATAACGTACGAACTTGAATAAAAGTTTGAACCATAAGGATCAGGAGATATGCAAAAATCTATTTGTAATCCATTATTCAAAATAATGTAATTTGATCGATTACAAAAGATTTTGCAAATATCCAGTTATATCCTTCGCATTCTGATATTTATCATTCAGTATAACAAATAATAAAATATTTTAAAGACTTTTATTTTCTTCTTTGACATTTTTCAGATGTTAAGCAATTGTTACAAAAACAAGCAGTTGTCTCTCACAGATCAGGTATGTCCAATTACTGAACGTAACAAAACAGTTCAGAACCAAAATCAAACATTCTGAGCTTCCATTGAATTCAAAACTTATAAAAATTAATTTCTTTAAACATTAAAACTTAAAAAATTTACATGAAGTTCAAAAAGTGTCAAACTTTCCTCTATACAGTGGCCATGTCCATAATTCTTTTCAAACAAAGGATAGAGGGATTGACCAAACTACATGTATAGAAGAAAGTGTGACATTTCTTAACCAAGTTATTTTATATAAAGGTCCTTACTTTAAAAATTTGGACATTTCAAAAAAAAAGTTTTGTAAAATTAATGGCTATATTATGAAGGTTATGATGGTTGACATTTTGATGATTAATTTCAAACTTACAAGCAGACAAACTTTGAATACTCGAAAATCCAAAATTAAAAAAAACTCATTTAGTAATTGAGTATCTCTGATAATATAGGAGGCTTTAAAGTACTTGGATTTTGTTATTTTTACTGATACAAAAGAAGTTGGAGGAGTTTGTTAGTCATACAACCGAAATAATATGAGATCAAACAATGTGGAAATTCACTACAGTTTATGTTATTTTCCAAAGAAAAACAGCCTAATACATTTAATAAATTTCAGGATCTAGTCAATTTGTCAAATGAAATATTTTTTCATTTATAAATAAATGCTTAGAGTATGTACAGTGACATTTACTTGTAAAAAATTTAATGCTTGAGCATATAAAAATATTGGACTGAAGACGAAGCACAGATAGTTCAGTTATTATTTTCAAGTTACTAGTTTACATATGGAAGAACAATAATGAATCTCTTAGAGCTTATAGATTAGAAAATTAGATTACTTTTATTCTATTCTTTAATTCTTCTAAAAAAGAAAAATGTCTCCAGTAGATTTTAGGAAATAATGAACTATTAAATTCTAATTGTCTCAAAATCAAATTTATCATTTTTCAAATGAAAGGTGAAGAAGAGATTTATTTGTGGTTGTAAAACATATCAGAAGAGAATATTACTATTGATTAACAATTGTTTCCTATAAAAATCATGATTTACAATTGATTAAATACACAAACAATCAGTAATGGAATAATGCTAAAATTCCTAATGATTCCTCCATTCCACTAGAAAGTCTAGATTCCAGTAAGATTATTGATTCTTTTTCAAAGTTAAAGTTAGGATTAAATAGTCTTAGAGATGGTAACACAATAGCACTTGCCACTTACAGGGTTGCTAGCTCATTTTCATTTAAAAACACATGAAATGGCTTGCATAAATGTGCCAAATGTAAATTTATTCTGTTGCCATTTTTTACCTTATAATGTTATAAGTCAGCCTCACCCTTTCTCAATCTTTTTAAGCTCAAGGACCAGTAGAAATGTATGAAAAAAAATTCTATAGACATCTAAGTTATACAGGCCTAAATTTTTAGAACCTACATGGGTATTTCCAATAATTGGGACATAGTGCACCATTTAATAATACAAATCTAAACATGTTTTAAATACATATGAAAACAATTAAACTGGAAGCAAACTATTAAAAGTAAATTGTCATTGAACAAAGTTTCAATTTAAGTCGGTCTGCAGACTGCCTGTCCCAACAATGCCAGACAGTATCATTTCTCTACCTATAATAAGATGATGAATTATTACATTAGAAATCAATGGCACTTAAATTTTTACAATAAATCTGTTCAATATACTGTTAACTTAATTTCAAACTCAATAGCAATTATGTCAAATTTCTTGTTTGGTGTAATCAATCTGTGGGTTAAGAAATATAGATGAAACGTCAAAATGTTATGTAGACATTGAATAAGCTAAGCACAGTAAAAGCATCTCAATAGTAAAATTTCGAAAGCAGTTTAGGCAGAACTGTAGTCTAATTCTGGTTACTATTACTGTCTACAGTAAATTAACAGTTTAATTTACACTAAATATAATCTCAAATTCCAAACTTTTCCATGTGCCGAAAGTTTTTTAAAAATATCAAACCTGGCAACATTGGTCACTTTCTAGTTCTGAGAGTCTGTTACTGCTATTTCTTATCACAGTTTCCAGTTTTCATGTCACATGTTGCAAATATGCATTTGTTAAATTTTGACCAATGAGAATTTTTACATAACAACTGCCAATATGAATTTATAAAGTTTTAAATTTTGTTTGCTAAAAGTAACAAATAAAGTATAATAATACTTAACTGTTAATTATCCTAATTTAAACAATTTTAATTATTATCTGAAACAAAGATTAATTTTGTTATTAAATGTTAAAGAATCTTTTTAAGAATTGGAAATAATAAAATCTCAATTGATTCTAATTACTGGAAAAAACCCAGCTTTTCCTATTCTTGGGACAATTATTTGGAATTGGTATCACTACAGAAGAGTCTTGCAAACTCAATGTGAGTGAGAACATGACAACTTATTGAAAATTACTAGTTTTTATGGCTAGTGATGATCTAAATAGCTGAATCTTCATACAGGTATTATATGCACAAATTTATATACATATTAACTATCAATACATACCATTAGTAATTATTTATACTTTAAATTAAATTTAAAAATATTGACTATTCAGTGGCTACTGTCAAGTTAGTGACATTTGTGTCGTGGCATTTGCAGTGGCACTTTGGGAACACCTTTCCTTGCATTAAAAGCAATGCATTTGAGGAGTTACATTTATAGGACATTTTGGGATTCCCTAGAATGCTAAGAACATGATGCATGTAAAAATATTGCCACTTTCTCATGGAATATCTTATGTGTAATTGACCTGGCCTGAAAAGAGAACATTTAAAAAAATTTAAAAAGTTGCAATAATGTTTGTTAAGTCATCTCTTTGCAATTCATGTAAAATCATGTTTAAGAATTTTTCAGAGTATTATATATGAAGGGTTTGGATGTAAAAGATGTTAAGCACTAGCTACTAAGCACGGGTACTTCTACACGAGGCGTGTAGAAGTACCCATATCAACTGAATAGAGATGGAAAAAAGCCAGGTGTTTAATTAATAACACAATCTTGTGTTCAACAGTCAATAAATACTAAAACATGGTTTCAGAAAACAAATCAACTATAATGAAAGTTCAAAGAAAGAAGAAAAATTAAACTTCTTAGGAACTTTTCTGTTTCATTTACTTTAAATCACAATAAAGTGCTTGTTATAGTTAAAAAGGTATAGATACCATTTAAAATAAATTGAAATTCACTGCTGTTTACCTGTTAAGTGCATTAGTACTTTATAATGTGTGCTATCATCTTTTACTCATGAACCCTTTATATATTGTTTGTGTAGGAAAGGATTTAGTTCAAATTTGTCATATTTTATTAATCATTAATGAATGATTTAATTTTTTTTAATTTAGATAATAGAATATCAGAAAAATTCTCTAAAAATCAAAGTAATCAATTTGAAGTATTATGTTTCAATAATTTAGGAATTTACCCCTTCATAAACAGTATTTTATACCCAATAGTATATCTAATGATTCAAATATAAAAATTGTCATTCAATAAAGTTAGATGCTGAAAATTAAAAAATAAAACAGCAGAACATAGAAGTCAAAGCAAGTTTTAAGTTTGAAAATTTTTAAAAAATTAGAGAGTTTTACATATTTGAATAAATGCATCTCTGAATGCAACTAAAATGACAAAATTTTGCAAACCTTAAACTGCAATATGTAAAAAAATTAGCAAGAATTACGAGAAGTGTGCGACTAATTTTCAATATTTACAATTTATTATCTTGAAAAATTAGTGCATGACAAATTGATAACATTTTACATACATGCAAACATAGTGGGTGATTGTAATTAAAATTACCCCTATTTCATGCTGTATAGAGAGATTTAGCAGTCCAAAATCCAGTATGGTGACATTTCATGACATGCAGACATCATTTCCATAAAATATTAGTACCAGAACTCAACTATTATAACACTGCAAATGAATATTGTTTGTAAAAGATCATGTTACACAAACTTTAGTAATGCATAGAATATTAATGAAGGTATAAAACCTAAAGGAGATAAACAGTGTTCAATGGCCAATCACAACTCAGCCTCTTACTTCATTTTCAGTGTAATAAGTCATTCAAGGCTGCAATATTTGCAATGTGTCCTCAAACTAAATTTTTGTCCCCACAAAACAAAATTTATCCTTTTCATTTTCTGAAATGTAACCATTCAAGATCTAGTTGTATTTGAATTATTAAATATCTCTACATAATGTTATGTAGGAGTACTTTAATTGTAATGATTATCCAGTACATGCATGCATAAAATATTTATCCATAGCACATGTAAGTTTTTTGATTATTTTTTTTTTATGTTACAAGATAAAAATTTCATTGTTGCACAAAAAATTTTGGCAGCAAAGGATTAAACAAAATATGATAATTAGTGAGAACGTTTAAGGTATTTTAAATAAGTATTTCAAAATTTTTACAAGTTAATTAGATGCTAGAAAAAAAAAAAAACCATGCCAAATTTAGAATCAATCAATCTGAAAACAATGCTGATTTTTGTTGCTGTATGGCAAATTTAATTTAGATAATTAAAAAGATAATTTCCAATACAAACACTAATAGAAAGGTGGCAATGTGATAAGTCTACTGATTGAGAAATTCCAATTTTAGTTTCTTGTTCATTATAGTTTAAGGATCAATTTTCTATGTTGCCTAACTGGCAAAAACATGTTTACTTGTATATACAAAGTGATAGTATGTAGCTAGGAAGTGTTGATAAATAAAAAAAACATACCTTTGTAATCCTAGCAATGTATTTATTAAAATTAAGAATGTTCTCAATTAGTTTGACCGGCCTTCAGTTAACAGCAACATAAAAAAGAATTCACTTAAAAAAATCTAACACTTGGCATTTCCATTGCCTTCTGATCCAATAGGTAAAAGATGATCAAATATCCTTACAAAATCATTAATCTTTAAAATGTTTTGAGTAAGTTTTGGAGATAAATCCAAACATCTAATTATTGATAAGGAAAAATGTCAAAATTGGTTAAATTATGAGGTAAGAAGAGTCAGAACACCTGGCAAAAAGTATCAACAATCCAGCCGAGTCATCAAATTGTTACGGCCTGTATCAGCTGGACCAGTCACACATCGCAACCTTAGACCACATTAAAATCACTTAATTCTACTCCCATGCTCAGCAAAAATAAAAAGGGCTCGCACCTGATCGTCAGGGCAATCTCTGAAAATTGCCAATTCCTTGTCAGTCCATTTGCCAATCATCTCAAACTTGAGAAGACTGCCATCCAAATTAAACATCTAACGAGGTATTATGTTTGTCAATTTTACGTAAACTCTGTCATTAATTTGTAAGTACAGTCACTCAGAAATTTGGACCCTAATGACACTCTTAACCTGGCAACTGTCAATTAGTCCAACTCTGATTGTACCAGTCTCTTGTAATCTTGTGTTTTTATATTAAAAACTTGTTAAGTTATCTAAATGGTTGTTTTATCTTGTGTATCACTGACACTTTAACAACTTGCTAACCCTTCCCACTCGCACTAACTAAAGCCATCCACTGATACAGTGAGCAGTTGTCACCGGACCGACATTGGAAAAAGGGTTAAGTCTCATGCCTCCACTCCAGCTTCTCATACAGAAATTTATTAATCTGGCATCCAATCCAGAATTTCTGGTGGTCTAGTACCCTCAGACTAGTGATCAAGAATATGAAATTGTCCAATAATAACCCGGTATGCTAATATTTCATGAATCAGAATTTGTTGCAACATCTGTGTGCTAAACGGTTAGCTCATGTTATATGTTCAGTAACATGCATGACTGATATATTTTCTTTCCCACGGCCAATGTGAGTACATTGCATCTAAAAATAGCTCTCATATGAGAGAGCTATTTTTAGATGCAATGCATACTTTGAACACGTACAGCTTTTATGAATCTTAGGTACATTTTGAAAATTATTATACACACATAAATCACTAAAATGTCGATTTTGTGCAATAATGTGTTCATTAATGTTCTAGAAATTGTCAACTTGGACTTATCAGATTATTAGGATTATTACACTGGTATACCGGCTATTTGCAAAAGGAGGAGTTCTTAATCAGAAAAAAAAAACTATTTTTTCAGGAAATACTAAAAGGTGAAAAAATAAAGATTTTTTCATTTTTCTGATTACATTAAGATACATTTGTTACATTAAGTTACATATTTGCATTATGTAAATTAAATGTAATAATGTGCATAAATAAAAAATGAACAGAAAAATAGAAGAAATGTAATATTTAGCCAATCTAAATCAATAGTGAGAGAGACTTTAATTTTTAAATTGATTGCTTAAAAAAAGAAGAAGAAAAATGTTTATTCAGAAAATAAATACTTATTTAAAATCAGAAGAATACCCTAAACATTTTCATAAAAAAAATATTTAAATTTTTAACAAAAAATTGATCAGGGTGTGTGCTTATTAAGCACACATCCTGATGTATTTAGGTACTTAAAAATAGTCAGAATCAGAAATATGTTTTTATTTTACTTACCCCTAACATATTCAGTTTATCACATATTAACCAGCACATTAACCAATCAACATCATACTTGTGATTCATTACAACAAGAGCATGCTCTTTAGAAAAATTTTTCAGGGTGTCTTCATCAGCTGCTATTAAACGACAAGTTGTACCAGACCACCATTCTGTTAATGCCACAATTTCTACAAAAATAAATAATTTTTTTAATATATGAAGTGATAGGAGCATTCCAAGTATATATTGACATCGATTTACTGATTATATAAAAATTTTAACATTTTAAATATATTTTTTTTCAATTTTAAATTAATTGAATAAATTGAAATTTAAAAAAATTGAATGATTATTAATTTCATAAATTAACTAGCAGGACTATTTAAAAATTACCCCCTTAAATATTAAAAAAAAATGTTAAATTATTTTTGTTCATAAAAAGTTATTCTAGAAAACAAATGATTGAATTGTTTTTTTTAAATTTAATCTTGACATTTAAATGAAAAAATACATACTAGTACTTTAATAAAGTAATCTAGTTTTTTAATTAAAAATTTAATTTAAAAAGTAACTTTTATAAAAAGGTAAGATATTTTAATAAATGTTTTCAGTTATTTAAATCTCAAGATACGAATTGAGGTACACTAATAAAAAGATGTTTTACTTACGAGACCAGGATGAATAGATCAAATAGTAGTTTATTCTTCTATAAAGATCTTTATTTACTTTACGAATTGTTAGATATATACATGCCTGAACTGCATTTATAATTAATCCACTTGCAATGAAGACAAGACCCAAAAATGTTATAAGAATCCAAGTTTTTATTTTTTCCCACATTTTCTATATAAAAAAAAAAGGGAAAAAGACAAAATTAAATTCTATTTTCCTGTAAACAAATATATACAAACACACACATAAATGTTTATATAGATACTGAACTTGTATTTATATACATATGAAAAACAAAATGGACTATTATTGACAGAATTTCATGTGTCAATAATATTACTGTCAATTATTGCTTAATATATTCTGTATAATAAAATATAAAATAGGCACATAAACTTAATAAATAGAATTTTGTTAAAATAATTCACAAATAAAGCAAATTTTAAAATCCTACATTTAGAATTTAAAAAAAAATTCACACAGTACTTGCCTGATAGGCCAAGTTGAAAATTAATAATTTAGCTATAAAGATATATTCTTAATTATGTTTGCTACCTCACCAAATAAGCAATTATCAGGTGATATGACATCAGATTTACAACATCATTTCAAAGTTCAAAGGAAACGAACTTTGTAATCATAAAGGTCAAATTCAATAATATATGAAGCCTTAATCAGACAATCACATTAAAAAAAGGGGTTAGATTTTATAAATAACTTTTTCAGAGTTTTATTTTGATAAAAACTGAATTTAAAATCAACTTTTATAGTTATTAAATTGGACTTTTATAAAACTCTGCATTGTCAACAATGTGATAATGAATATAATTTATTATCAGATTGTCTAGTTTCTTAAACTATGTATTTAGTAGGCCTACATAATTGAACTGATCAAATTAGTATACTACTAGAGAAATTTTTTCATTTTAAGTGAATTTTGTCAATTTAGTGATCACTTTATAAAATATATATAAATTTAAGACTTGAAATTTATAGGCTACACAATAAACAAACAATTAGAAAAAAAATAATTAAAAGAGCAAATTATTTTTATGCATTACGTTAAATTAAATCTTAATGGATGAAAAAATTTAATTCTTTAACCATATATAGACCTAGTAATACAAGTAAAAAACTTAGGTAGTTTTATATTCATTTCCAGGGAAGACCAGAAGGGAGGGGCAAAGGAGCAAATTTTCCCAAGACCAGAGGAAGTAGGGTTCCTATACAATTTTTTTTTTTTCACTTACTTCTTTTAAAGTAATAATTTGTTACAGTGAACTTATTACTCTCTGGGTGACCCTGTTCATTTCCAAACATTTACATATTTCTTTGATCTCTTAATGCAAACAAATTAAGATTCTGTAAAACATCTAGAAACATTTTAACAATAATTTAAAAGTTTTTACAAACTTCTGTAAATAAAGTATTTTTTTTTTATTCCAAAAAATTTTAAATTTTGATATTATTTTGTAAAAAAATTATATATTTGAAGATTTTGATTGATTTTTTTTGAGAATTTTTTAATTAGAAACATGGATCTATCTATTTTTTTTAACAAGGTTCACTTTTTATTTTTAATTAAAAGAGTTTTCTACAGAAATTTATTTCATGTAAAACCCCCACCAACTATAAACAATACAATACTATCTTAATAAACATTATAAAACAACATGAAGTGTATAATAAATTAAGATTGTTATTAAGTTATCAAAGACTTTTTTCATCTTAAAATTTCAAGTTTCTTTAAATTTTCTCTATGGGGAAAAACTAAATAAAACTGTTTTTTCAAAAGAAAATCGTATTGTGATGATATAACAGTGATGAGAAATATTACATAGAATGATATTTCTTCAGTAATTTTTCCACAGTGGTATGTCTACTGAAGAAATTTTAAAGTGGTAGTAGGGCTCAATTTTATTGGATTAAAATACTTTAAAAACAAACAATTGCAACAAATTGTCACAACTGTAATACAATTAAAATAGATGAAATGTATTGGTCTTCAAAAATCTTATACATATATATTATTTGAAGTACTATTTCATATCTAATAATAGCCAAATAAAATAAAAAAAATTTATAAAAAAATGAAATATTGTTTAACTTCCTTTAGCAAGTTTATCATTCATTAAAAAGTATCATGAATGTTCTCACTCAAGAGTACATGTATTTTTCTTTTAACGTTTCAAACTTGTGTTCTGCTATAAAAGAAAAGAACATTTGTTAGAGATTCCACATTCTTTTATATAAAAAAAGGAATTTTTAAAATATTGCTACTTTGTAACAATACTTTAAAAATTATTCTTTCCTTTATAAACAATGTTTTTCTATGTTATATAAATTAGTTTGCACACTGCAAGATAAAGTCAAGGAGTGTTTGATAAAAATAATGCAAACATAATAATAAACATAGCTTTTTAAAAAATATTTATAAAATTAGAAAGAAAAGAAAGAATGTCTTCATATTTTGTCCTTTTTAACACCTCAGGAACACCATCTTTATGGCAGAGTCAATTTCTTATTGAGTCTACTCATCCACCTCAATGTGTAAAAATGTTAATAATTCCAGTGTGATGGCATAATCAAAAATATTATCAATTAACAAATAAAAAAAATGGCCAGAACAACAATAAACATTGTTTTATGCGATATGCTTCGTGTCTAGTCTTATGTTCAAATATAAGAGTGCTAAGATGGCTTTTTCTTTTCCGCTAGACTTATTACACCATCAATGAAATGGAGGACAAGCTTTAGAAAGACTATTTATTTGAGTATGCATTTCGGATAATTGTATCCCTTTTCATAGATAATAAATAATCCATAGAATCCATCATTCGAGAATGGGAAAAGCATTACAAGAAGCTGGGATAAATAATCAAATTAAATTAGGAACCAAACACAAAGGAGTAAAAATCAACGGCTTGGCTTTTGCAGATGATTTCGCGGCCTTGGCTAAGGATGTGAACTCAGCCATCACCCAAATTAACCTCCTAGGAAAAATTGCGAAGAAAGCAGGTTTACAAATCTCTACGTCCAAAACAGAGTACATAACAAATATTTCAGGTGCCCCAAAATCACTAAAAACGGATTTTGGAGAAATTAACAAAGTATCAAAATTTAAATATCTTGGAGAAATTATTGAAACAAATGGGTTGTCTAAAGCAGCAAATTGTGCCAGGACACGGAAGTTGGAAATTGCCTATCAACTTTCCAAAGACATTTACAACAAAAAATCAATCTCCATTAATGCAAAAATTAGACATTATAACGCAGTGATAAAACCGCAAGCACTTTATGCAGCAGAAGGTATTGCTACTCTTAAAATGGGAGAAATAGAAAATATGGAGAAAAAAGAGAGGAAGATCCTTCGGAAAATTCTGGGGCCAAAAATAGATGAACATGGTAACTACGTGCTAAGGAGCAATAAAGAGCTTTATCAAAAAATCCCAAGACTCTCGGATACAATTCGGAGAAGGCGAGTAAGCTTCTTTGGGCATATAAAGAGAATGGGGGAAAATAGGCTAACGAAACAAATTTTTATGTATTTCAACAACCTAAAGAATAAGAATCAATGGATCAATGACACTCAAAAAGACATGGCAGAAATGGGCATATTGGAAGAAGATATCCAGAACAGGGAAAGGTTTAGAAACAAAATAAAGAACTTCAAGGGTTTTCAGGAAAAGGAAAATAACAGACGTGGGAGACTCTTCACTCAGGAGCAAAGACAACAGCAGAGCGAGAGAATGAAGAGGTATTGGAAAGAAAGGAAGAAGAACAAAGGGAAGGGAAGAGGGAAAAGCAAGTCATAATTAGTTGTTTGTACGTGGTCCAAAGATGGCCGGAATCGACACAAGAAGAAGAAGAAATAATCCATATTTTATCTAAAAAAAGGTATAATTGTATCCCTTTTTTTAGATAAAATATGGATGGTGATTATTGATTATCTAATGTCAAAACTGCATTTCCCACAATCCATGTAAGTTTCCTAATGTTCTTTTACAATTTTGTAACTTTATAGAAAAATTTTGCTAACTTGTATACATTATGCTGATTTTCCCTGTATAGTTGTAACACGAGTTGAAAAGGGATACAATTATCCGAAATGCATACTCAAATAAATAAAGAGTCTTTCTAAAGCTTGTCCTCCGTTTCATTGATGGTGTAATAAGTCTAGCGAAAAAGAAAAAGCCATCTTAGCACTCGTATATTTAAACATTGTTTTATTGAAAGTCACTACAACTAGTTAATGTAATGTTAAAGATATCTTTAAAATTACATTAACCTAAGATATAATTTGATTATTGAATTAAAAAATCAGGAAATTGATTCATATAATGTTGACATTTATATGCTAACTAGACCCATTAAGTCATAGAAAAACTCAACTTTTTAAAAATCAACAAATTTCAAGATATCACTATAATTAACAGAAAACAGTAAATTTAAATTACTTAGTTTAATTTAGGTTAAATTATCCTATTATTCTAGCAAATGATTTGTTATTTGAATATCACAGCTTCATACAAAAGTTCAAATGAGTGTCAATCCATAAGTTTGCTTTTATATTGAAGTGTTTTTCTTTTTATTTACAAAAACATAAATTTCAATTAGTTTTTCATATGATTATATTCTACAGAATAGTTTCTTTTTACATATTTTGAATTATATTATAAATCTTCATACAAAATAACCCATTCCTCCAAAACTAGACACCAGCAACTAGATTATCATTATTAAAATCACAATGAAAATATGATCCTGATAAAACATCTAACTGGATGAAATACTAAAAACAAACCTTTTAGATTCCAACTTGAAAATTGCTATGTACAGTAACACACCTTAAACAGCTTTTGTAGATCCAGAATGAAACTTTAATTTCATAAAAAAAAAATATATACAGACTAATATTTTTGATCAATACTGATAATCAGGCCATTTACATTCTATAAATAGAATGCATTACGAAAATTTAAAAACACACATTGTAATGTAAAAACGAAAAAAAAGGGATAAAGCAGATGAACAAAGAACACCAGAGGTATGTAGAGTTCCAGTGATGGATAATATTGATATTCAATAAAGAGTTTTAATACATTGGCTGTACTAAATGCTCATTATGTAAGAGGCTAATAAAATCTGAATTTGATACAAAACATGGTAAACACACCACCATTCTGTGTGGTAAACACACCTTAAAAAATGCCACCCTCAAAATTAAGCTTTTTGCCATTTTATAATAGTTAAAAATATAGCATCATGTTTTAATAAAATATGATAACAGATGATGCCACCAAAATTTTAAATGTTGCCAGGAAAGCTGAGCAACTTGTTGCTGGTTTATTTTGAATTTGCATTTTATTTTTTCATGATGGCATATTTTATGTAATAATTATTCTGTCACCAAAACTCCTCTAAGTTTTATAAAAGAAAACCTATCTTTTCCCCCTTTTTCACATTATGTAATGATGTATGTTAGTTTTAAATATCTGTATTGCATTCTTCAATGCATTCCATTTATAGAAAATAAATGACCTAATGAAGATCAGTATTGATTTTTTCTATCAGTATATATTATTTTGAAATTAAAGTTTCATTCTGGATCGACAAAGCTTGTTTGAGCTGCATAAACCTTTAATAATGTTCATAAACTTGATGATGGCTACCAATTAGTTAAAAACTTTAATTGTTAAAATCTAGCAACAATTTTTAATAGGTTAACTTTTTAAAATTAATATTACAAAATTCATATTAAAACTTAACTTCAAAAAGATAAAAAATATGAAATTTCTTAATCTTAAATATATTTGGAACTTTATTCTATCTTCAAATTTAACTGTAACAAAATACTAATTTGAAATGTTCAGAATTTTTAAAAACACACTGTATTAAGTGTACTTTTATATATAATTTATATGATAATTACTAATAAATGGCTGTCAAGATCACCTGTAGATGACATACTATCAGCATCTGCTTCAAAATTTCCACATTTAATATGAAAAAATGTATATAGAAATGATTTTTAATAGAGTAATAATAAGTATCAATAAATCAAAAGCATTATGAAGATAAGACTAAGTTAGTCCAATGTTTAATTTCTGATATAATAAAATATTTTATCATTCAAATACGAACTATATAAAGCTCATAGTTCATTATTTAAAATACTATTATAGTAGCAAATAATTAAGACATTAAATAAAATTCATCGTAATTACTAACAAAATTTAATAAAATTAAAGCTCTGTTTAAAATGAGGGATGTGCTATTCTGGTCAAATATAAAAACAAATGAAATTTGTTGTGTTTTAATCATCATTAATATTTATGATTCATATGTTTTGAAACTAATACTATGTTATGATGATGATTATTATTATTATTAATAAAAACTAAAAATCATCAAGACAAGTCCAATTTTAAATACATTACATTTTTACAAATCTACACATCAGTAGGATGTTGAATAAAAATTTTAAAATGATAATGTAAGTATACATGTAGAGAGCAATTTTACAATAAAAATAGATTTGTAACAAACCGATAAAATTTATTTAAAATTATACAAGATTTAATAAAATGAAAAACAAAAGAAAGCAATTTATAGTAATAAAAAAATATCTAGCACTGATTATATGTAAAAAGAAGAAATGAGTAATGACATTACTACTACACTTTCAAACTAGTATTTCAAAGATCAATTTTCATATAAAATAAATTAATATTTTTTCTTTAAATATTACCATAATAACAAGTTTACTATAAATTCAGAATTATTTTAATATGTAATTATAACAGCTTTTAAAGCTAGGAAAAAATAATAAAATTTGAGATAATATTTAGAAAATTGAGATTTCATACTTTTCAATAAAAATTTGTGACAGTATTAAAAGAAATAATCAGAACAAACAGTTGTGATAACGAGGAACAAAACTAAATAGGAAGATATTATGAAATAATTACATTAAATGAAAGCAACAACTCAGACTGTAAAAATAAAATTAAAAGACTTATCATTATTTAATTACATACTTGATGCTATGATAAATAGGAATTGTAATTTAGAGTTATTCTGACAAAATCAAAAAGAAGGAAAAATGATACTATCTTCAAAAACTAAATATAATAGCAGTATTTTGTTTTAATAAAACAAACATGAGCTCTTCAACTGCACAACTCCATTTAACTCTAATGAAAAGATTATTATTATCTTGAACTTTAAGAGTATTACCTCTTCAAGTTCAAGGTAATAATTTGTCTTTCATTAAAAAGAACAAAAATATGAGTCCCAAATGTTTTTGGACCTATAGAACTATAGGTCCAAAATGATTTCAGGTTTCATTTACACTAATAAAACAATGTTCTTATTTGATAAATATACAAGTAGATGTATTTGCAAAATCCATATCTTTAATTAACCTCTTTCAATGGTAATTTTGTTGCTGATATTCTTTTGGTCTATGCTCTTTCAACCTTGCATTGCTGATGTTCTAACATTCATAAGTTTTTAAATCTTGAAATTAGGATTAGTGTATTATTTGTTTAATTATGATGATTCTGAAAATTATAATTTGAATCCTTGTAAGTATTCCTTGCAAAATACTGGCCTGAACTTGGAACACCTAAACTTGAATTAGCATATTGGAGTATACAGTACTTAAAATACAAATTTGTATATATATTTGAACATCCAAACTGGGATCTGGTCCCAATTAGTTTGGATTTTTGATACTTAAATGGATTTTGAAATTGTCAATACAGTAATCATCATTAACCTAGCATATCTTGATAAAACATTTTCCTGTAATTTAATGGAAGTATTAAATAGATTTAAACATTTTTTTGTTATATCCATTTGGACACATGTATCATGTATTAATACATTATTCAATTTCTTGATTTATTAAAATAAGGGAGAATACCATCTACCAAACTGACTTTTCTACAGTAAAACCAGTTCAAAACAAAATCTGCCTTAATGGAAAGAATTCTTTGGAATGCAATGATTTTCTATGTTAAAAAAGTATGTTCTAAACTGAAACAATATTCAGTATTGTGTGAGTTGGTTTGTACAAGCTCTACTGTATATACTTTACTCAAAATTAATTCAAATTATTATTGTTTCTAATAGAGTAAGCAAAAAGCAAAACTACATATTAAAACTGCTTTTAAGTATGAAGTTTATTTGTTGAATAAACTATTATTTAAGAATGAAATTTCAAAAGAATTAAGCTTTTGAAATTTTATTCTTAAAAGTAATGTTTATTCTATGATGACATTTGATTGAATCAAAAATCAATATAAATTCTAAGAGAAAAATACTGGTTATTAGCATGAACATTTTCCTTTATTTTTACTTTTAATACTGATTCTTGAAATTTGTTACAAATTAAAGACCTTTAAAAATAAAAAAATTGAAATTTTTGTAAAGATCAGTAAAATTTCATAATTTGAATTTTCACTCAATATTTTTCTAACCATCACTAAGCTTCCAACATGTGTTAGAAATTAAAATTCCACTCACTCGTACACACCAAATTAACACTCTCGTCTTTTACCTCGCAGAAATCGAATCTGACAAAAAAATACGGTTTACATAATCAAATCCGTGAAACTAAAACAGTCAGTTCAAAACAAACAACATTTACTTAAAATAAATAATTAAAAGCATTTATCTACAATTCCATCTTGTTTTATTCATTTAATTCAGATCAGGAAAAAAGGAAAAAAAAATTGGAATAGGAAAATTTCCCTATTTTAAACTGAAAATAGATTATTTCTTCCGGCAAAATGATTTGTTTACATTATAAAGCAATAAGTTTTTATTTTTTTTATTTTGAGTTTATTTAATTAAATTTCAGGATAATCAAGTTCTTGTATTTTACAGCACTTGTATGAATATTGAAATTCTAAATTTATTTTTAAAGAATTTAAATTGTGATGGAATAAACTTCTCCATTTCATCATCCAAGTTCTCATATTGATAATTTATATAAAAGATAACGTATTCAGATGTTCTTACGTGTAATGAAGTTTTAAATACTTACAAACGCGTTATCACACCACGTTGTTTACTTACCTTCGGGAAATTAATCAATTTCATTTTTAAATTTAACACGTGAAGTAAGAGTTTATAAGAGACAGAATTACGAATAATTCTTACTTACGTTTGTATTGTCGGGCTTAACGAGCGCACACAAACGTTTCGTTTAAAATTTCCCGTCACTAAATTAGCCAAACGAATTTAACTAAACAACTTAAACTGATTGCGCTGTCACGCTATTAAGCAGCCGACGAGTCCCAATAGCTTGATTAAATGCGTGCGTGTGCGTGTGTATATATAAAAATGTATATTTCAACTCATACCGACCAAACTACGTAAAATATTAAACTAATTAAAATTTGCTAAAATAATATTTTAAAATCGTTACGTTTTATTTCCATTTAATAATTTTGCACATCACGTGATTAAATTTTAATACGGAAAACGATCAAAGAATACGTAATCGTTCAAAGTAATTATTATTTAATTTTAATTAGTCGGAATAATAATATGAAATAACTTAACTAAATTTTTTTTTTATTATTTTAAATTTAGTGTTACGACGATAGGTACTGTAAAATGTTTCCGTTGGTTAAAACGTAAATTTTGCAAATCGGAAGACCAATAATATTTAGTCTTATAATTTCGATTTCGTTTGACTGCTGTGCGTTGTTGTAAAGTTTTCTTACGTTGTCACGTGCTACTGACGTCACTATATGGCTGTCTTTCGTTTTGAGAAATGATGAAGTGTTTATGTAGAAGGATATGGATATTGGATTATTAGCGTTCTTTCCGTTATCATTCCTTTTTACAGGAAGTTATTTGAATATTTAAAGGTGAGACACGATCTTATAAACTTCTTTAAGTAGCTATTTACTAATTATGCCTTTCATCAATGTTATTTTGAAGTTCATATGTACAGAAATTATATTTTAAACACTCATTTAAATATTTAATTAGCAAAGTATTTTATATAATAATAAATTACTAGAATGTTGGTATTAATAGGTTATTGGTAAGTAAACTTTTAATAATCTAAATTTACTGATGATTATAAACATTTTAAAAGTCTTTTCAATAAAATTTACTGTTTTAAATAATGTTACATTTAAGAAATTTAGAATAAAAATAAAATAAAGTAAGCATAAGCAAAAATCTTCAAAAGTAAATTTAGCCATTTACTAGGAAAGTAACTTATTGCTTCTTCTTGATACAAAACATGCCAAAATATCTTAACAAGTAAGTCAAAACAAATTCTGTCATAAATCAAATGTCGGAAGTTTAGTCGAAATGAAAAATTATTTTACAAATTGCCGCGTAAAATGTTTAGACCGGCAATTCCCGAACTTTTTCTATCTCTAAACTTGCGCCTGATCCCCCGACCTGTTTTTCCTCGTTTGAGAAAAGATTGGAAATATTCTTAGAAAAGTTCAGTTACGAATTTTGCATTTTGTGTCCTTATCGTACATTATTCTCTGCGTCTGGAAACCATTAAATGCAATGTTTCTTCTTATCTGAAAAGTTGTCAGTTACCTGAACCCTCTGTGTTTGGTTGGGACCCTGCCTCTGGTGCCTCTTGATTCTTTTTGCCCCCTAGATTTACTCTCTGCCCTCTTTGGGAATTACCACCCAAGGATTTAGATAATTTCCAATTCAAATTTTGAATAATCAGTTGACATGGTATTTAATTCATTTATGTTTTAGTATAACATCAATTTAAACAAAAATACTGACATCTGCAGAGTTCATCTACTTGTCTAATCTTGAAAAATTGCTACCATACTGTTGATGATGATTCTGATTTAGCACATCATCAGTTTTAAAACATGAAATAAATATTTAATACAAGTCAACCTTTGAAGAACCGATCAAACTCTAACCTGATGCAGACCTTGAGTAAGGTCAAAAGTAGTGTTGTAACGAATAGTATATTCGGCCAAACTATTCAGCTTGATTAATGCACGTACGAAAATTGGCGCTCAAACCGCATTATGGCAAGGACCCTGCTCTTTATTGGCCAACTATCACTACACTTCGCCAATCATGTTAATTCTTGACAGTTCAGACAAGAGCGTCATGGCAGTATGTGATAAGTGGTGATATCAAATGTGGATAATAATGAAATGACCTACACGTGTAAATAATGGAAGAAGAACAGAGAAGGACCGCAAAGTGAAAATAAATATGAAATTGAGTTGATAACATCATCGAACAAGTTGATTATGTTATCAACTCAATAAGCTGCCTCGAACAAGTCAAGGCAGCTTATTGGCACGAAATTCGCAGCTGTGAATGCCAAACAATTGTTGTCATAGACTTCGGAAAGCTAAATGCTTGTAATGAAAGTCACTTAGTGTGCACGGGCGAAAGCTTGAGGTCGTTCGGACTACCAAGCTGTTTTGAATCTGTGAAATCATAACTGTGACTTATACCGACGTCCTATCTCTCTCTTTTCTCCGTTATCACCAGGCTATGAGTCACGTAATTGTAAAATGGGAAATCTACGACGGAAGAGTGATGAATCGAAAGTATCATGAGCGCATATTATGATGTATGCATAGGCATACGTGGACTAGAGCGATAGAGGAAAGAGAAAGGGAAGAGCAAAGATGAGTGCTTAAAAAGAAGGATAGGCAGAGTCAGACCCTCAGACGTGCAACGATTCTTGAACGAATAGGTGTGTACGTGTGCTGATCTTTATAATTATAAATTGTGAATACGTGTGACTAATATTATTTTCTTTTTTATTTTGTGCATGTTATAAGTTATAAATAAATATAAACAAACAACACTAACCCGATAACATTAAATCTAAATACCAAAATGATTAATTTACTGTGTTTTTGTTATTTCTTACTCCTGTTTTTAGGTATTCGGTATTTGACCGAATAGTGATTAAATATTCGGTGTTCGGCCGAATAGCGAAAAATAGGCTGAATAGGCCAAATACCGAATAGTAACTGAATATTCATTACATCACTAGTCAAGTGTTTGTTGGACAATTTATTAAACATTTTTTGTTACCGGACATAAAGGTTCAAGGGTTGTCATTAGCACCAGTAATTAAGTTGGAAGATATCTTTATTTAATACAAGAATATTAAATTTTTATATGCTGTTTTGAATGTTTATCTCTTATGAGCATTAATCTAAAGATAAATTTTTAATTAGAACTTAAATAAATAATTACATTTTACTAACTTTTAAATAACTGTATTTATAAAAAGAACGATTATGAGGTAATTGATGTTGATGTAATTGATCTGAAAACATTTCTGGTGAAATTAATTTTACATTTTCTTTAGTCTGTTTGGTTTGTTTATCTTATAAAATGATCACACTTTTTAAATAATTATAATCAAGAATTTTTTCTGGCTACATAATGTTGATGATATTCTTTCTAGCTAAAGATGATTTTGATATGCTTTACAGTTCATTCCAAGTAATGAATAGGTTCAAAATAAGTTATATACAAATTTCTATCAGCTCTGACATCTTTTCTTTGTTGTTGTTAAAATAAAGCTGCCGCATATTTAATGTTTTCCAGATATTTTTTAATCTAACCAATATCAATAATAAATTTTGGTTATGTTAAAGAACTGTTTTTCTCTAGATGTGTAATTGGCTGTTTATTTTTAATTAACTTACATGTTACAAGATAAAACAGAATCAAATGCATCTCTGTTTACAAATATTAGTATTAATTTCAAATCACAAAAAGTACTTTTTATGAAATTATATAAATTTGTTTACATTTTCATCATAATGTAGAGTACTGCACAATATTATATTTAATGTACATAATAGTTATAATAGTATATTATTTCTAATTTTTTGGAAAAATCTTTTTTTTTTATTATTATTTATTTTTAAGAGAGATTAATTTGTGTCATTGTTATAATGTTACAAAAGTTTTTAAGTAGTTATCATTTTATTTTACTTCTAAATAGATAAAATTTCAGGTTTTTATGTCAAACTGTATTTTAACAATTTTTCTTCAAATCTAAATGCCGTAGTGAGAAGTTCTATACAGTTTATTTTATCAGTATTTTATTTTATTACAAATATTAAATGATCATGGAAGCTATTCTTTTATAAATGCATGTGTTGTTTTTATACTTTAGATTTAATTTCAGTTTTTGAAATTTATTTTTTATAAATATTTTTATACATACACCAAATTATTCTTTTTAGATTTTTACTATATTATAAGAAATTAAGTAGAATTGCCTATTGATAATTGCCTTCAATTATTCGGAAAAATAACAGTATAAAGGAATATAGATATAAGATTATATAGAAAGAATATAAGAGTAGTATAAATCAATTTTTTCAAAAAAAGAAAATTTATAAGCATAAATTTAGCAACATTTAATAGTTTGATTAAATTATTACAAACCTCAAATATGAGAAATTTCTAAACATTGCTTAAATAAATGAAATACTACTGTATGGATATAGAAATTATTTTTTTGTTTGTGTAATGTGTTTTAATTGGACTTCTTTTACATTGTTTTTCACAAGGGATGGTTATTATAATAGTCATAGTCAACATTACCTAATGTAAATTGAATAAATAAGTAAAATATATGAAAGAGGAAAATATATGACATTAAAAGGCACAATGAAAAATACTTTTTTTTAATAAATAAGTGGAAAAGTCTGAAGACAATTGATTTCCACCTCCTCCCAGATAATCATTTGAAATATTCAAATTAGTTCCCTATTATTTGAAATATTCAAAATGTTTTGAGATATTGCAAAAATCTGTACTATTGTGTCAGTTTCAAAACAAATGCCATTTTGCCTAAAAGATCCATTGGTCACTCCATTAATATAACATATAGTATTTTTAATTTTATTTGATATAAGAACACATTGATTTTTATTCATTTAATTAAAACATCAATTTATATGTTAATATATTTGAAATATGAAATAATAAGGAAAATAAATTTATTGTGATTGTGAGCAGACAAAATTATTTAGATTTCAATAACATAAAAAAATAGAGATTTAAAAGTAACTGTTCTATCCTTGTATATTACAGAATTTTTATGTAATTATTAAATAAAGTAGAAATATACATTAGCAATGATTCTTCTGGTAGTTCAAAAAATCTTGCCGCTTTTTATTTTATATCAAAAGCGGCAAGATTTCTTCCATCTATCCAATTATTCTTTGCATATGGCTGATGTTCACAGGAACACAGATTTGATGTTTTTGGCTTGATTTTTAAAGAAAAAAATTTAAAAATTGATGAAAGTTATTTTTATAAAAAATTTTTGATAATTTTATTAAAAACTTTTATGATTAAAATGTGATATATATTTTTTACAAAATTTTGAATAATTAAATACATTTTTGAAAAGATTT